TATCAAAAATAAAAAAGATATTGCTAGAACCAGTAGTAACAAACCAAAAGTGTAATTTCAGGTTATTTTGTTTGGTGTGAAATTGAAAACAGAATTATTTGGCCCAAGCAAAATATACTCAGTCGGTAGAAACTGCATAATTTGTCCCACAACCGACCTTTTTGTGGCATAGCGAGACCTGGATATTCTGCATGCAGTGTATTATTCATAAATTGTTTTTGGCAACTCATCAGAACTAGGCTTACATTCATGATAAGAAGAATGCATTAAGCACTGAATGGTTTGTGTTACAGACAATGTTGAATTTTGAATATTTACTTGTATGTTCCAATAATTTGTTAATCTGTTGCAATGAATTTTGAATACCAGTAGTATTTTCTTTGCTGATGGTTAGCAATAATTATTCTAAGTAGATAACTTTTTTTACTAAACACCTACAGCTGTAAATGGAGAATAATAAGAAATATTGATTACTGTTTTACATTTTTTACACCACTACTGCAGAAATGACAGAAACCCTTCAAGAAAAGACAGGATAATAGAAACCTTTTTGCTGCTTACAGTAAATCCGAATATAAACAAGATGTGATTAGGCATACAGAGTGTTTTCACATGACGTCACGGCGGCCATATTGGTGTCCCAAAACAATGAAACGGCGGCCATGTTGGTGTCCCAAGCCAGTCCTTTGGGAGTTGAACTCTTTTCTCATGCAAATGCTTTCTTTTGTTACAATAAATTTGCAAAGATGTTGGCCAAGTGAGTAAAAACGCTCTATAATGTGGCTTCTTAGACAAAACTCAAAACAAAATATCACCTAACTAGAAAGTTCATGAGTCTGCATTTTATGTCAACGAAAATCAAAAGTTCTATATAAATCAAATGACCTCTACCACTTACTATATGTACCTGCTAAAACTCTCCCACCTTTTGATGCAGCAAAATTTCGCACTCCAGAATTCATAAATTTGATCTGGAAACTTACGCGATCATGTTCACGTTAGTACTGTTATTAGAAGTCATATGCAGGGTAAAATCTTCAATCAGTTATGACAGTAATTTACATATGTCTCAGACCATGATAATTGTCTCAAGAGCTGGCATGTATTAGTGTATAACTTTATAATTATACTGTGAGGCAAATATAGATTGCATGATTCTTTCATCCCCTAAAAAACTCTGTAAACTAACATCTCTGCTCTACTAATAGTAATATTTTTTTAAAAAAGAACAACATCTATATTAAAGTAATAAAAATTTTTAGGTTTTTAGGCAGCTACTTTGAATATAGTACGGTCGATATTTAAGTGCAATGATAGAAGGCTTCATGAATCATGAAACAACTCGATTAACAATGTTACAGTCAAACCAGGTCAAGCGTTCCCGTCGCTAACAAACTAATGAATTCATTAATGGAAAAATAATTTCGTTTGTTGATTCAATAATCCATTCATAAAATGAATAATCCAACAGTCAAATTGGACCTCGATTCAATAATCAAATGTTGATTTGGTTTATGAGCAAAATCTACCTGTTCTTTATTCTTGTCTGTTGTGTTCAATCGTATTTGCTTCCTTTTTCCTGCCGTTTACGATTGCGTTTTTCATTTCCTTTAATCAAAATAACAGCTAGAATAGACAGACCGCAAACGCAAAGAAACTATGAGAAACTGACAAAGGCCGAGGATCGAAATCCACCAATCACCGCACATACACTGACCTTAGTTTGACCGTTGTGTTTTCGAAGAGGTCAGGCCTGGGTCTGTTGCACTGATTACTGGCAGCAAACTGGCGTACATGTAACAGTTTGTTTGGGTTTGAACTTCAGAACTCGCCGGCACTCGACTCTCACAAAAAAAAGAGGAAAAAACAAAATTCTGAGGTCAACTTGTGGAAAGTGTAGTTTTTCAAAAAACAGTAATCGAATCAACATTCGATTATGGAATCGAGGCTAAATATGAATATTGGATTGTTCATTTTATGAATGGATTATTGAATCAACAAACGAAATCATTTTTCCGTGAATGAATTCATTAGTTCGTTAGCGACGGGAACGCTTGACCTGGTTTGACTGTAAGTATCAATCAATTTGGTCGAAATTGTTCGAAACAATCATGAAATGCAGATGAACTTCTAGGACACGTGTTTAAAACATACCGTACCTTTTGTGGGGGTATATTCCATCTCAGTGGAAGGTCCCAATTGTATATAATACATAAGACTTGTAATCGGAATGTCGGGAATTCTTTTATCAATTAAAAAAACGTGCATTTTATGACTGACTGGGCTTTTGTCCGGAAGAGGAAAAGGGATAAACTCGCTTTACTTGAACAGGACCTGAACTGACTTATTAACATACCGGCCCGCGCGAGCGATATTAAAAAAACTGTAACAAATAACGCATTAATTTTGTGTAGAGTAAATTAACTTATTTACCTTTGCTTTTGATTTTAAGAACGAAAGCATTATTCTTTTGATCCGGCCGGCTACTTCGTTCATAACAGTCATAAAATGATCCGATAACAACAACGACAAATTGAGACGGAATTCATTGAGACGAAACGAAACCCAGATTGAAACCAATAGCAAAGATTACATAGCATCTGCCTTTACTCGCTCTAACATGCTTTTCAGTATTTTAATTCCTGCATTTTGTTTTGATAAAAAATAAAGGCAATTATGGCTGAACTTTTAGGGGATAACTTTCCAAAACATTCGAAACAACGTGACGTATAGTTATAAACAAGGCTGGTCAATGCTTACACTGTATTACTCGTTCGTTGCTAAAATTTGGCTGCAGAGCGCCGAAATAGGCAAAATCGCGCTCGTAATATCTTTATACGTCTTGCAGATGACTTATCTTTGTCTTTCTTTATAATCTCTTCAAGTATTCATTCAACAATGACAACAAATTCCCCGTTGTGATCCGACTTGTTGGTGGATCAACAACCGAGCGGCATACACGGTCCAAACTCGAAGAAAGTCAAAGATCATTTCAATACTTACTATTCATTCAACACAGGGCGATCTTTAGGTCGGATCTTTGTTCTTTGTGAATCCCTGACAGGTAAAAACTAAAGTTTTCATATCATAAAGGGCGAAAAGTCCGGTTTTTCCAGACTGCCCAATCGAAGCAACTCAGTCGCCACTTTGCGTTCGCGCGCGTCAACGATACGACTGCATGCACAAGAATACTTGATCACGTGTCGATTTTATCACGCAATTATCGTCACGGTGTAGGAACACGGAAGTCTGTCCAAAAGAACATCTTTCCGAAGGCCTTGTTCAACCGTTTCATGTTCTTTTCCTTATGGAATTATTTCGATTTTATCGTTCATCCATGAGTTAGAGCAGCTGCGATCAGGGTAATGCGAGATCTTGGAACAAGATGAATGGCAAAGTCCATGGCAACTTAAAGTTGCACGTGAACTAGCTTTTGGAGGGCCCCCTCGCCCGGGAATTTAACCCATGCGGCTGATGCAAGGTAAGTGCGTTCTGGGGAACGCAAAAAGCTGGAGTTATTTTTGAACATAAACCTTTCTTTAATTTGAGCAGGAGAACTACGTTCGATTGATCTTAGTTGAAAAACTGAAAATCGACTCTCAGCAATCCAGACGGAAGTGGGGTGAAAAGGTTTTTGGCCGGTGACCATGAAAACTACCCGCCGTAATCGCATTACGGATAGATATTGCGCCGCGATGGTGTCGTCACGAACTTCAGCACTTCACAAAAAATACAAATAAAGGTTTTGTTTGTGGTGTGGAGCCGGTGGACTGCTCAAGCAAAGACGCTCTTGAGCAACGGAAGTCTGCCATAACGCTTCCAAATTTGTATTCTTAATTGCGTTTAGTCTTATAAAGACGATTTGGCGGAAAATTTGGGCAAAACCACTGCTCAAGAATGAAAACAGACCACTTCCGGTGGACATGCGTCACGGCCAATAGCACCCTAATTTTAGTAAACTGGTTCTTGGGTTGACTGTGTACAAATCCCTGATTCGGATTCCTTTTTTCAGTCGCCTGGTCCTCTTGTTTGGCGTCTTTCGGTTGTGCATGTTGGTGACGTATCGGAGACGAACAGCCGCACCATGTGACTCGAAACGCATAGCCCGCCCTAGGGACTTATATTGCGTCGAGATGCGCCGGGTATTTCCTTAGAAGTTAGGTGCGAACTGCACGCGAAGGGAGACGCCGTTTATTTGCGCGATCTCGCGCTGCTCGTTTTGCTAGATTGCTCGCGGGCTATTGGTCCTTCAGGGAAACTCTAATAAAAACGTGGACCTACAGAAGCCGGGGACCCTCGGGTACACACTAGAGGACACCGTTGCAGGGACCTCGTTTGCGCTGAATGCGATGTGCCGCGTTGTACCCATTTTATGTAGCCTGTGTTGCTGGCGTTTTGTTTAGGAGTGTGGCGCAAACCAGCGGCAAAGCCGCGAGACTGAATGGGGAAAAACTGGCGCTTACTTTGGACCCGCGGATCTCATTCACTCCAGAGCTTATCTTTCTGACTTTGCGCGTGAGTTGAAAACAAAATTCCCTGCTTGTTCAGCCTTTGCGTGCGCTCCCAAAAAAAAAAAGCCAGCTGCGCGGGCTACACAAGCTTTTTGATGCACCACACGGGTCTGCTATAGTGTTTCGGCAGGGGCTCTTGCTTTCAGCCTAACACTCTTCAAACCGCTAGTAAAGCTAAAGGTACAGTAAAAAGGGCAACAAGACCGTGCAACTTGTTTGCTGATGCGAGAGAAATTGATGTAGTGAGCTGGCTGTAGCAACATTCATTTTTGTGTACTAAAACAATAAATTAATCCATTTGTAAGAAAAATAGTTTAAATTTCAGATAATGCTTCAGTGTTTCATTTATATTGCTTTCACTTAACAATCCACTCTAATTTTTCAAAATAATCTTTAAAAATCTGAAAACTTTCTCTAAAATACAATCTGAAGTTAAAAATAAAACTCAACATTTTTGCTGACCAGCGTTTAAGTATATAAAAAAATAGTTTTTTAACTCTCCTTTTGACATATCGATTATTTGTAGAAATTCAACAGAGTTCTACAAGTCTCCAGCTTCAAGTTGCCTTATCTTCTGTTTGCACTTGAGTTCCTTTTCTTTTCAATTCTTCCATTTCTTTAACCAGATAGTCTATTGGTTTCTCTGGTCTTTTGAACACTAGCTTTGCAATCAAGTCCTGCAAAAAAAAAATCGTTTAATGCAGGTTCAAGCATACTTGCGAAGTCCTGAAAACTTTTTAGATAATGAATTTATTCAAGCATCAATGTAAGGCTCCACTAGAGTTGGAATTAACAGCTAACTAAAGCTAATGAATCAATTGGCCTTATCCATGTTGAGGTCTGACAAGCAAATTTTACCATCAAGCCTTGTTTTGAAATTGTAAAGTTGAGAAGTTTCCCAAGACAGTAGAGTTTAAAAGAATACCCACAAAGAATTTTTGTTCACAATCAAGGATTGGTGGTGAACTTTGCTAGTTTGATGTAAACATTCATAAGAATCATTAACAAGAATAGGTAGTCAGCAAGCAAAGTACGTACACACCGACAATGACAGATAATGGCATTCTAAAGACCCTGATATATCCTGGGAGCAGGCGCCTTATAATATTAGTGAGACAAAAGGGCAAATAACAGGGTGAGTGCGAAGAAAGAGACAAACTGTGTGGTGGATTGGAAAAGTCCTACTGCTAGTATCTGACAAGCTTTTCCCATCACTGGTTAGCAAAGTAGACATAGTTACCCTTGCACACACAACCTTAGTGAATGAGGCAGAGAGGTATAGGATGGAAACTTAACAGCCATCATGCACAAACAAAAGAAAATATCTCAAGAGATGTCATTCACCAATTGGGCACAATGATACAAAAGATTTTTTGTGCCTTATCAGGAACTGGCATAATTTTTGTGGTGCCATTTGGAAATGGTCTAGTGCGACTCTTGAGACCAGTACCCTTAGGCTCTTCTGCCTGTTCTTGAAAGCTTTGGCATTGTTTCTCCTGACCTGACAGGCATGACAGAACATGATCTTATCAGAACCTCCATTTTTGTGTTATACCCAGGGGATCTTGGAACAATACTTTTCTTCACAGCATGAGTATTCCAAGTCTACCTCGCAGCCGTTTTTAATGTTGTCATGCAATACTCCTCCCCTCCTCCTTCCCTCCTCTGTGGGGAGGAGTATTGCGTGAAGACACTAAAAACGGCTGCGAGGTAGACTAGGGAGTACCCTTATTTTATATGACTTTTTGATGCCCCTGATGAAGTTTCATTTTTGTGTCTGCCACTCACTGGTAGCTTAGTTGGATAATGCATAGTTATTGGTGCAATGTATGTAAAAATAATTACTCTTTGTTTAATTTTCTAAACCTCACTTTCTACCCTAAAATAAACGTTGCAGCATGCGTAAAATTTCTACCTTTGCACTACAGTAAGCTTACCTCCAGTAAATGCAAAATTGCTGTTTCCTCGAGGTACTTGGTGGCTTTTACACGAGATTCTTCTTTTTCCATATTTTCTCTGACAAGAGATTGCTTCACCTCATCCAAGAGGTCTTTTCCAATTTTCTGACACTCTGTAAAGCAATAAGTTTCCTGTTCATCTGTTTCTGCTTTCAGCTCCGCCATCTTGTTTGTTTTTACCCTCGTTTTCATGTGGCCTGCCCCTGGTTTTGCTGATCGCCTGGCGTATTTTCACCGGTGATGAACAAGATTTCTTCTTGGGACTTTCCACGGCGCGAGTCAAACGGTTTTAACAATGTTGAAATTTTTACTTCTTGTTAATAAGCAAGGCCATACTCGTGTTTCGCAGTATTATGAGTATTTGGAACTCAAAGAAAGAACAACTATGGAAGCGGAGATAACGCGCAAATGTTTAACAAGAAACGATGGTCAAGTAAGTTGTACGGAGATATGGGGTAGTTTACAGAAGGTCATTAGTATAAATGACTTTTTTGTGTGGCTAAGATTTCCTTTATACAGTCCTATACATATATTATGCATGCAGCAATCTCACGCTATTTCACAGAAATAGTCAATATGAATGGAATTGAAACATGTTTGTGCAATGCATGGGGCTGTACAGAAACTCAAAGGATACAGTACAGATGACTTGCTATTGAGGACGAAAGCTGCTGGGTTAGATTATACTGCTGACTGGATGAGCACCGGTCTGCCAGGCAAGAAGCTGCAGGTTCAAACCTTTGTCAGACCAACACTTCGGGTCTACTGGAAATATGTGTCTTGTAAACCCTTCAATACTCAGTGTAAATAGAGCCACTCAAGTTTAGCCGTGATGGGTGGGGTTAGGAACTTTAGTGGGTGACGCAGGGTTCTGAATTCGGTCAGTGTAAAACACAGACTGTGGACTGCAGACTGCAGACTGCGGACCAGGGGTAAAATGCAGACTGAGTGTAAAATGCAGACTGCAGACTGAGAGTAAAACGTAGGCTGGGGTAAAATGCAGAATAAAGACTGTAGACTTTTTTAAACATTTGTGCTCCTTCTTCTCCAAATCGGTGAAATAGCTAGCCGGTATCAGTTACACACTTCGCTTCCTAGTCGAAGTGCATTGCACATTCGCCAGAAGTTTCTATGAACATCCGAACAGCTTAAGTCTGCGTACCTTGATTTGCAATACTTTCATAGAAGGTCATCCAAATTCCTGCAGAACATCTTTCTTTGTTGTTGGAATATGATTTACTCCCTTTTTATCGCCATAATTCTTCCTGTATAGTATTTTGGGTCAGCAGCTTCCATTTAAGCGTAAACATCGTGGTGTTGTACCAAATTCACGGTCCCTGGTCACGTATATCGAAAACTTCGCGTCTAAACTTGAAGCGTGAGGTCTCTCGGATGGAAAAAAGGTTCAAGATTGCTATTATATGTTTTTGGGTCGTCGACAAGGTTCCAGAGAAGAAAGTCCTGAATGGCGGATTTGTGAAAGCAGATGTCGTCAAGTAAGTGTTCGTTTACATGTATTTGCGGGATTTTTTGACCCTTAAACCTTTCCACAACTACAGTTTATGCTTGGTCTGCATTTTACCCCAGCCTGCGTTTTACTCTCAGTCTGCAGTCTGCATTTTGCACTCAGTCTGACCGGTTCTGAATTGAACCTGTAACCAGTAACACCTGTCATGGGTGTCAAGGAATGTTATAACTGTCAAAGCGCTTCAACTACTTGATCAATTCATGTATCAAATGCAAATAAAAGGACGCCTTTTTGAGTAAATGACTGTGTAAAGTATTGACTGTTAGTTGCTTTTGCAATGTACCTTTTTTGGTTTAAGTTGTCAAAATGAACAGCTTATCAGCAGACCACAGAATGAAGGTACAATCACTATGCTTTGCAGCATCACCGCAATGTTGAAATATGGCCGCCATATTAAACTTGTGCATCTGAGCCCAGGCCTCTTGCAGGTGTTGTCTTTCCACATGCAAAAACGTGGCCACTGCAAAGCATTTCTGAGCATCTTAAACCAAAATTTTCCCAGGGAGCATGCCATGTGTTACACCGATAAGTAGCACAGCAACAACTGTACAAAATATTATTGAGAACTCTGGGTAACCCACTGTAGAATGACAGTTTTACAATACAGGCGTTGTGGAGAGGTTAAAACAGAATGACTCTTCATTGTATCATCTGGGACAAAAAAAAAAACACAGGTAGAGGTGATAAACATAGTGAAATTTCGCAGTTTTGTATGAACATGATGTTGCTACCAAATTTGTTCCTCTTCTTCTTTGCTGCAATCTGCCCAGGATGATCTTAGAAAACTACTTCTTCAAAATGGTTACCCCCAAGGGATAATCAACTTCGACGTCAATCATGTGCTAGAAAGAAACACAAATAAGCCAGCGACCGCCCTCTACCTATGGTACCTAAAAAGGGTGTTATTATCCTGTTAACTTAATGTATTTACCTGTTCTACTACTGTGTTTCTGTGGTAATTTAAAGATAATTTTTCAAAACACTTGCCATAATAAATCTTTCATTCGATCCACTGCCTAAATCTCCCTCAAAGATCCAAAGTCATGTACAAAGCTAGTTAGTGGGATTGCAACAATTTTTACATTTGAAAAACTAAGCAATGACTTCATGATAGGGAGACTGAACACTTCAAGGCCCTCACTAAAAATGATCACTTGTTAGCTTTTGCTGAGCATGTAAAAGCCACCAGACATGATACATGTATCAAGTGGGGTCATTTTGATATTTTAGTGCCAGGGAAGTCCAAATTATTATCAATGCCAAGATAAAAGAAACATTGTATATACAAGGTCTTAAGCCAGCTTTAAATGTCAACATCAGCAGTGAAAAGCTGATACTTAGCTGTTGCCTTATATAATTTTACTGTTAAGAATTTTGAATATTGTTAATCTATATTAATTTTTAGTCTTGTCATACTTTTAATGGTCACTAGAGATCACTAATTTGAAAATATATGTTGACTAGCAATTATACAAACGTCAAGTTCATATAAAAATGCAAAAGTCCACTATATGTTTATCACCACTGTTTTTGTTTTATTTTTGATTAAGCTACGATGGTCCAAGAACAAAAGTCTTTATGGGACAAAAAAGTTGATTTGTTGAGAGGTAGTAGTTAGTAATGGTTGGGTTGTAACCTGTTACCATGAAAATAGTTAGTATGGGTTTAGCTTTGAAAATGATTTAAACTTGACTTATTGTTTGTGTAATTTCTTCTTTCAGTGTCCTTTCTTTGAATTTGAGAATTTTAAAGTCATATACAAAAGATATGCTTCACTGTTCTTTATTGTTGGAGTTGATTCAGAAGAGGTAAGTGTCTTAAGTCAAGTGATTATGTTATCACAGTGCAAGGTGATTTTTTGACAGCCGGCATGAGTCTCGGGTCAATGACCCGACAAAGAAGGCTTCCTGACCCGACAGATGACATATAAGTATTAAACTAAATATAACGAAAAAATTAGCAGGTGGTCTTGGTGATCCCTCAGACCCCTCACTTGAAAGAATTAACTGGAACGCTGTGTGGGTGTCATGGCTTAAAGAACCTTGTCCCCCAGGAATCAGTCCAATCATTTTTTCCCAATTAGTTATGGCTGAAAAAAAATTACTCTAACCCCATGGGAATTTGTTCAGTTTTTGTGGTGTCCTTGATGTCATGGCTCACAGAACCTCATTCCCCAGGAATCAGTCCAGTCATTGTTTAAATAATGGGTGAAATAATTTTCCCCTGGGTTGATACATTATTTGGATTAATTAACCAGCTGTATTAATTTCACTTATGAATCATTTTTTTTTGGGTGGATTATTTTTCAATCTATGGTTTTACTATTACTCCTTCTCTTAGAATGTGAAGGGGTTTACGTTTCCCAGCCCCTTCCCTGAATCTACTACAGGGAAAAATATTCCATGGTTAATGCAGTAAAATTGTAGAGGTACAGATATTGTATTATTACTTTTACTTCATCGTTTTCTTACAGAATGAATTGGCAATACTAGAATTCATTCACAATTTGGTAGAAACGTTGGACCGCTACTTTTCTAGTGTGGTGAGTGTGATTGCTTTTTATCTTTTGTTATTCAACCCTTTCACTGTTTTACCGTATATGGATATGAGAACATGCAAAAAAAAAAACGTCCAAAAAAGGAGCCTGAAAAACTGAGTAATGTGAAAACTGGGTGAAATATAACAAACAAAGTGCACTCGCTTTATTTACAGATGTTGCAAACGAACATTTTGGCCTGATATTCCTTGAAAGTGATGTGAATAGCAGAAAAATTGCACCTGAAATGTTCTTTCCTGAATTGAATGTCACAAGAAAAAAATCAGCCTTAAATTTAAGATCGGTGCTTTATGCTTAACGTTTTTTCACTGGTAACAGCATTTAAATGCTCAAACAGTCTGGATGGATGAACCTCCCTTTTCTTGTTGTAAAGCTTCCAACTTGGCTCTTCTCCTGGGAGAGGTTACAATACCCTGCCACCTCCTCCCGCCATAATACTTTTTAAAGGTAGAGTTACAGTACTAGTTAAAATAATTGTTCACAGGCGAAGCAAATCAGTTACTAATTAGATTGTTTCCATATTTTTTTTCAGTGTGAGCTGGATGTATCCTTTCCTCAAACTTGATCTTCTTTTTCATTTGGAAAACCACTAGCCCTCCTTTAATGCAACCTCGTTCCCAGTGTTCTCCCATTCTTGGTCTCTTCAGAGCGAGTTTTGAGCAGCAGAGAATCCTGGGAATGAGGTTTTTGCTTCAATGATGGGTTCCTGGAGAAATAAGTCCCTAACAGTCGCTCAATAATCACAGTTTCGACTTAACATGGGTCATGAGTTTTATGTGCTTCAGTTTTTTTAAGAAATCCCTGAAGAAGTATAACTACTGATGCAGCTTCCTTGACTTGCCGGTTCTGAAGATAATGTTTAATCTCGACAAAGTTCATATGATATTGGATGAAATGATCATGAATGGACAAATCGTTGAAACCAATAAAAATCGAATCCTGGCGCCTGTTGCAGTTTTGGACAAAGCGGCCAAATGAGAACATCCTTTGGCAAATGTAAGGTAAACGGTGTTTTTAACGACAGAAACGTTTATGTTATGAGAAGGCAGACTTCCGCTAATGACATTGAACCAAAACTGCTTTGAAACACTCAGAAGAAACTAGTAAGCGCGCAATCAGATTTTGTACCAATCAGATACAACCGCTAGTTAGCGCGGGAAATTATGTAACTAGTCCTAGGCATGACTGTTTAGTTTTTTTCACCGCTCGGATTTTTGATATCGTGTTAAAGGGGGGCTCTTGCGTCCTGGGACCGGTGCGAAGACCAGTACATGTTAAGTCCAGGTAGGAGGTATAAATGTCAGTTAAAATCTGCAACGCGTTTCGTTTTATTAAGACGAAAAGTCTTAAGACGTACTTGTATTAGTTCTTCGTTCTACCCCATAAATGACTCGAAAATCCTTCCTTACGAGTTAGGAACGGATTTCCGTATTATAAACAACTTTCATTCGACGGCAGAATAGACGAAAACGATTGGAAATTTCAGGCCAACTTAAGCGCGAGCGTAAACGTGCACTTGCGCGCGCAAAAATAGAAAAAGCTTTTCAGCAGTCGTCTTTGTTTCGTCACAAGACGCACGAACTTTTCAGAACGAAGCGATCGTCCTTTGATTTAATCGACATTTTTTCGTTGTTGTGTAAACAAAAGTTACTGGCAAGCGATAAGCGATGGACAGGCTTGTTTGGGTTTGTGTCGCGTACACAGCTGCTACATTTACTGTTGACTTGATTGATTCATGTTGGTGTGCTGGAGAAATTTTATATGACATTTACAAACAACGCCGTAAACAAGCAGAAAAGGTAAGCAGGAAAAAATGAAAAGGAAAGCACCAAATTTTTTGCAGCATCCGTTGTTCCGCTTAACCAACCGAGGTTCCAGGTCTGTCGAATGGAATAGTCAGTCTTACACTGACTTTTTAGTGAGCTGCGTCTGATTAATCTCGCACGTTGTCTAGGACCTGGCCGTGGCTAATCTAGTATGCTTTAGGGAGACTAGGGCGTGGGCGGCCCACACCAATCGGGACATTTTGAAACTGCACATTTTTTACGCGGATTTGTGTTGACGGGTTCTTAAACCACACTGGAGAGAAGTTTCAAACTGCGATGCGTTTTCGGTGAGCGGATTCACTCGGGTTTCGTGTGAACGATAGACCGATTCGTCTTAGAAATTATATTCGGTTTCAAACTGTCCGGATTTGTTTGCACTTGGCCTAAGCATCCCGTATGACAACAAAAATTGCAAGATGATCACGTGGTCAGTTTAGTACCTTCATTACGTTTGACGTTTGACCTTTGTGAGAAACTTGTAGAACTTTTTTGATGTATTGTTGATCGGATACTTAAAAAATGGTATCTAGGTCATCTCTAATGTCGCTCGATGTATTAGACGTTATGCTTAACCTCTCTGTTGCTGTTGTTGATGTGTATGTGTGTGTGTGTATTTTTTTTAATTGACCTCAGTGCTTCTAAGCACTGATGGGTTTTTGATCCTGTTTATTATTATTATTGCCGCGGGGAAACAAAGGGCCAGTTATTTAAACGGGGTTTAGCCAGTGTTTAACAAAACTGCGTTCGATGCCTTTTTCAGTTTGTCCTACGCTTTGTCCAAAGATTTGCTTAACCTGGGCCTAAATTAGACTTCTTTTAAATAACCGACCCAAAGGTTTTGGCCAGATTCAAAACGCTTCTATTCAGTCCTTGCACTTATTTGTCTTTTCTGGCGTGCTGTTTCCCGAACGGTTCTTTTTCGTCTTTTTTCTTACCTGAAAAAATTTGCTGGGCTGGTCTTACCATAAGCGCTACTTATCTTAGTTTAAAATAAGATTCAAACTTTTTACCACTACAGTAAGAGAAATGGATTTTAAGCTGATAATCTCGCTTAGTCGCCTGATCACGGTATAACTTTTATTCTTTTTCAGCGAAAACTGCATCAGGAGGTATCCTTTTACACAGAATATTAATATTATTTGTTACAAGCTGTTTCAATACTTTGAAAAATGACAGCTCTTCTATCTGTCTCACAAAACTTTGTTGCCTAACCGCGGCATGATTACCTCAGTCGATAGAGCGCTTGACTGCAGAGTGGGAGGTCCACGTTGTGGGTTCAATTCCCAGAGCCGGATCAATACTCAGGGTCTTAAAATGACTGAAAAACGAAGGTACTGGCTTTTCCCTGCAAATGGCTGGACCTTCGCGTGGCTCGGATGATCACGTAAAATGGCGGTCCAGTCTCCAGTACAAGTAGGTGTCCCCATGCAATTCGTACTTTCGTGCTAAATACAGTGACACTCAAATAAAGTGCCTCTTTTTTCGCTTAGGCGGGGTCATTTCGCGCGGGTCAAAGAATAAGTTTAATAGATTAAGTTTTCATTGATCAGATTAGCGTGATAGAAGTAGGTTAGCTGGTAGAGGGAAGGACAAATAAAGGTATTTGATTAAGCGTGCGGATTGATAAGTACTCTTGCTAAGTGACCAGCAACATTCCATGTCAGTTCATTGGGCATTAAGTTGAGCTGTGCGACAGTTCCGATGTTTTGCCTGTACCGGTGCATCAGATTGAAAGGATTTGATTTCCAAGCCGAACAATCTAACCCTCTCTCTTCTCCCCTGTTTCCAACACCTGTTTAGTTTCCTTGACGTTTATTTCTAAAGATAAACACATGCGTTGAAGACCTAAACGAGCTTTGGCGCGAAATGGTTCGGCGTGGTGACGTCGATTACAGCAGGGCCGCTGTACCAGATGAAATCGCTGACATTTATCAGAGAGCCATGTTACTTTAATCTCAAGAGAAACTGTGTTGCGGCAAAGATTGAGACTTGATATAGATAAAATTTAACAAACAGCTGTTTTCTTACTATTGATAATTTTCAAACTGGACGAAGGCACAGTTTCCTGGGTCAAAGCTGGTCAAGAAATCTACTTCTATACCTAGACTGAACTGAGTAAGGAAAATATCTGCCATGCAGTCAACACCAGCCAAGAATTTGAAGTACTAATGTATCTTAACCTGACAAAGACAGATGAAGTGCCTGACCAGAGCTGCCAAGAATCCAGACTCGGAAGGACGAGTATTACATTTAAAAATTAAATCCTATACATTGACATCAATGCAAATGGAGGATAAACTTCAGATTTGTCATACAGTCAGATGTTATAAACGGGATAGTACAACATTTTCAGTGAAAGAAACATTAAAGTGCAAATTACGAGGTTGCTGTATATAAAGCATGTTGTAAGTTTCTCTAAGAAGACGCATGTGTTTGAGCACATTTGCGATCAAAATCCACCTAAGAAAGCCCCACTAAATGTGTTAACAAAGACTTTTTATGGCAAGAAAAGATAAATGTGGTTTCTAGAAAAACTGAGAGGGACTCTTAGAAGTTTCTATAGTTTGAAACAATAAAATCTGATGAAATAATTGTATGATTCCACTTTGAAGTATTTTATAAATGTTTGCATTGAAAAGTCGTATGTATTAGAAAGGGGAGAGTTTTACTAAACTTGATCTCAGTCTTTCACGGTTAAACTCTCTTGATGGACACGGTCGTCCTTGTTATATGAGTCAGAAGAACCTAGCAGAAAAGGCCAACAGTAATTTTGAATGAGACTGGGTAGGCTCGATTACCAGCCGTTTTGTGCGCCTTCCCCCCCCCCCCCGGAGGGGGAGGGTACTCGCTTATATAAGCCATATAGGTATTTGCCGCCCCAAAGGGTAGAGGGTAGGGTTTTGGTGCCGTTTCGGTCTGAAAACGGGTATAGTTTTTGAGGGAGAGTATGAACGTATTGGTAGTTTCAATTCCAAATGAATAAAAAAGAAAAAGTAATATGCGAATTCAAAACGGATTTAAAAACTCTTTGTTGGCGTTCTAACATGATACAATTTCTTGGAGGCCAGGTCTGATAACGGGTATGGATTATAAGGGCCAGGTCTGAAAATTTTTTTTGGTCTGAAATAGGGTCAGGATTTAGAGAATCGGACGGCACACCTCCATCAAGAATTTCCAAGAGTAACCCCGCCCCGGGGGGCCTGCCCTTCTTCGTACAAACCAGGTTAGTAGGAAAATGCAGGGCGAATTCCCTCAAACGGCTGAAAGTCGCGTATATTTTGCCGAGAGAACGAACGCGAGCTGAAAGGGATGATATTGCAAAGTAAACACACGGATCTAACATCAGGAGCCCATCAAATAACATCAGTTGATTTTAGCGCTATACGAAGGGGACGCAGACCCTGCAGCGTGGGTGTGCGTCTAAGAGTGTGTTCCCGTAGCAGGCTCACATCAGCTTCCAAGCTTCTACATACACTGTTGATAACTTGCTTTGAAAATAAAAATCATGATAAATGATGAGCAAGCAGCAGTGTGTTTTGGCCACCTGCCCCCTCCCCCACAACCATCACGGGTGGCAAGCTCATCACGGGATGAAGCAGTTTTCATTTCAAAAATACTGATTACTGGGATCATTCAGTTACTACTGCTTTTCATTCAATTATCCCGTCTTTGTCACAAAATTATGCTTGTTTGTCATACTTTTTGACGGGAGGGGGTATCATACACAAGCCAGGCATATATGGCTCGTTGGTATTTACTTATTCAGCATAATGCATAATAATATTCCGGTAGTATGTCAAGTTCTTTTCAGTCAAGCCAGTTGGGTAAAAAAAATCAAATGTCTATGTTGATATTTTTACCTGTTTCGGGTTGTTTGTTCACGTTGTGGAACTGTAGTAAGTTTTGATAATAAAGCGCTTCCTTATGCAGGCAAGATTTCGTAGACCATGCGCCAGCGATCGTCAGCGGTTAAAAAGTAGAGCAAGTAACGTTACTCCGCCAGACACTCCGCTACGCTTCCAAGATGTTCCAATCTAATGGCTGATGTAAGTGAAACTTTACTGCTTTGCACCGCAAACAATTTTCATTCAATGTTTAAAATATTTAATTCTCAACATTTTGATTTGAATTACGAGCGAATGAGTTCCAGACGTAAACTACTCGAACCAAATACAAACCTAGCTACGTCCACTTCATCGAGCCCAGTCGCGTGTGTCAGTTAGTTTGGGTTCATTGTAATCAGTGAGCGAAACAGAATCGAACTCTGGCAAAAAAATGGATGTAATCAAACGCGTATCGTGGCGAAAGGTTGGTTGTTTACTCAGGCTATCGAATGTGATCCAATGTTCGATTGTTTTCACAGTTACGGCGATCTGAGGTTCAACGTTCGGAAGTTGCGGTGCCGGTGTGAAAGGCAGACAAATTAATAACGAATACTTTTGTTAAAAGCGTGGCACGTGCTCGTTTTTGTCAGAGTGACTATTCGATTCGCAAAAAATACTGTTTTTTATTGTATAGTTTATCTGTGGGTTTAAATACTCGTACAAGAATTATCGGCTCCTTAGAGTTACAATAATTGAAATAAATTAAAATGAATAAGCTTATTAAATTTGAATTAAATTTGGCACTTCACACCAGACGTAAAACATCGTACGGGGAAACATCTCTTATGCACCGAACTCGCAGAGTACTATGTATATCGTTTATCATTTTTGTACCCTCTACAAAATCTACAAAATATTACGCTTTTGAATAACTCGGTGAAGCCGGATTTTTGTCGTCACACAACGCTCCTCCGGAGGGAGCAATGCGTGACGACAATAAAAGCAGCTGTCTAGTGGACTGTTGCTGCCTGTAATTGATGCTAATTTCGCAGTGTATTTTATCTCGAACAATACCTCAAAGGCATATCTTTTGCCATCTAAGACGGTACTGTGTTCTACTGTTCTATGTGCTAGTTTTGCTAGGCTTAACTTTATCATACTTATTGTTAATATTCTACACGATGATAAAAAATTATGTTTAAAAAAATAGGATAACAGGCGGTAAAGTTACATTAATTTTCTTTTAACTTTTTACTGTATGTTTGATATTTAATGCATTCAAAGTTCCTGCTTTTGTTTGTTCTGAAATATGTAATATGCAAACAATCTTGCCAAGGTTCAAGTTTGTAGGGTGTTTCACAAGCGAGATCTTAACCAACCCAAATCTGAAAGTGCGTAGTGTGGAGGTGCGAAATATGATGTCCCTCCATTGACTGGAAAATAACAGAAACATAAAGTTTTGCTATAATACTTTTCAATCAATCAATCAATAATCTTTATTTATACACGGTAAGTATTTAAAGCGACGCTTCGCTTGTGGGGTCGTGTCTAAATAATTAAATAAGATAACTAATGAATTAGAAAATAAATAGGATATACACCAGCTAAAATCATATAGCTACTTACTACTTACAAGTCTAAAACAATAAAAGCATAAAATTCTAAAGTACAAGGTGGTACTCTAGTACCAACTAATTAGTAACATTAATTATACTTAAAATTTTCCTCCCTTCTGATTAATGTTTGTTCCAACAGTAGTTTGGTGTAAGTAAAGCTCGTGAAGTCTACCATTCCCATTGTTTCTTGCTGAAAAAGGGAAATTCCTCTGCTTTTGGAGGGTCGCTACTTTCAGGATGTGACTGAACCGTGAAATTTTACTCCTTCTATTGGGTGGTAGTTGCTTTCAAAGCTTTACATCACGGTACCTTATGTCTTTTATGTGGGCTCTTTTGATTTGTTGGGGTTTAAAGCTGTCATTGCCCCTTCCACTCTGTTAAAGTGAGAGGCGGCACCAGCAAACAAGACACTGACAGCCTTAAACAAAACCCCATGTGTACATAACAGACTACACTCAAAAGAAGTAGAACTAAAGCGTACTTAATTATTTTAGTTCAGATTGTCTCTCTTCCTACGATATTCCAATGGTGCCATTTGTGAGTTTCAAAAACTCTCACTTTCAAAACGAGGCTTAGTGCAAAACCTTTCTTGTGAAAATGAGTTTTATTTGCATCAGAATAAAAAAGTCATTTTCACATGAATGGCTTCGCACTTAGCCTCGCTTTAAA